GTGTGTGTGTGTGTGTGTGTGTGTGTGTGTAACGTGGGGAGGAGTTATTGTGCGTGTGTGTGTGTAACGTGGGGAGGAGTTATTGTGCGTGTGTGTGTGTGTGTGTGTGCGTGTGTGTGTAACATGGGGAGGAGTTATTGTGCATGTGTGTTGTGACGGACCGGGCCGTGTCTGGGCCCAGCTTAGGGCGTCCGCTCAGGGCGAATTGCTCAAATCCGGGGCCGACCTCTCCAAACAGGCCACAAACCAGTCCCACAGAGCGCTTCAGCTGCCTGCCTGAAGCCTCCCGAGCAAAACCCCTCCGACACCCCAGCAATATCCGTGCCCCAGATGGCCCCGGGCCTATACACAGGTGGGGGGTCCTAGCACCCAATCCCACCTACCCCGAACAAGTTCTGTCCGGTTCCAAGAAACCAGCCACAGATCCCTGGTCAATTTACCCTCTGGACCTTACCCACAAATCACGCTGGGCCAATCCTTTAGAATCTATATCTAAAGGTTTATTATTACAGGAAAGAAAAGCATGAGAGTAAGGTTATTAAAGTACAGTACGTTACATGCACCGAATCTCCCAGTTCTCGATGCAGGCTCTAGCAGAGATGTTGCAGCTGCTGGTTTAAAAATCCTTATTGCACATCCTACGATCAGGATGGGTCCACAGGTCTTCCGGGCTCTTCAATCCCTGCAGTGCTGCCTCTGGGATGAAGTGCTGAGCTGAGAACCAAATGGCATCGACCACATGGCCTCTTTATACCCCTTCCTGGCCTCTTCCAGTATGTAGCAAGTCACCTGGTCCTCAGCCTCTTTGTCTTCCCTGCTGGCTGCTCTCAGGACAGCCCCCATTCTTTGGGTGTGTCTTTGGCCCATTGAGAACCATTGTTCCACAGGTAATTAGCATGTCCACAGGCTCCACAGGCTCAGCCCTGCCCAATGCTTAACCACATGCAGGGAAATCTTCAGTTTCTACACAGATTACAGATCTACACACACAGACATTATGTACTCACATAAACAGTGTACACAGGATCAGAAAACAACAAGCTCCCATTCAATACCCCACATGGCTCCCCCCACACCAATTTCTGGGGCCAACACCCCCACCTAGGGGTGCAGCAGCGACCTGGCTGCTTTCCTCCAATTCAGCAACGTGACATAAGCTCTTTGGGGAAGATACAGCTTTTTATTCTGTTTTGTACAGTGCTGAATACAGAGCAGTACAGTGCAGGGGTTGACAGTAATTTTTGATAGTGGGGGCACTCCTAGATTTTGGTAAAGTGGCCACTTTTCTATGGCAGGGGTGCAGAAATGGGACAGAGGGTGGGTGCAGAAGGGAGCTTGGGGTAGGAGATTTGAGGTCCAGAAGAGAGTGTGGCAATTGAGAGGAAATTTGGGTGAAGAGGGGGTTGTGACCTGGGGCAGGGGATTGGGGTTCAGGGTCTGGGAGGGGTATGGGTGCAGGAGTGGATTTTGACCCGGGGTAGCAGTGTGGGAGGTGGTGTAGGATCTAGGAGGGAGATGTGATCTGAGGGAGGAGGGATGCAGAGGATTTGGGTGGTGACCTGGGGCAGTGGAACAAAGTGCAGGGTTGGGGGGTATTGGGGTGCGGGAGAGGATTCTGGCCTGGGGAAGGGGTGTCAGAGAAGGTGCAAAGTCTGGGAGGGGGATTGTGACCTCAGGCGAGGGCTACAGAGGATTTGTTGGTGACCTGGGATAGGAGGGGTTGATGAGTGGGAGGAGATGGGGTACCAGAGGCAATCTCTAGCTGGGAGGTGCTTAACTTAGGCTGCTCCCAACCACCAGCCCAACAGGAACCCTGAAGCAGGCTCCTTGCCTGCTGCAGCCCCAGCCTGTTCAAAACAGCTGGAGGCTCCCTCCATGTGCCACTCTGGGCTGCACGCCCCTGATGGGGGGAGGGAGACTTAGTGCACTGCCCCATGCCTAGACCAATCATTGCAGCTCCCATTGGCTGGAAAATGGCCAATGGGAGCTGCAATGGTTGGCCTGGGAGCAGAAGCAGGGCGTAAAGTCTGCTCCCCACTCCACCACCACAGTGTGCAAAGTCCTCCCCCACCAGGGGTGCACAGTGCCTAGAGGGAGCCACTAGCGATTTTGATCAACCTTGGGCTGCAGCTGGCAGAGAGCCTGCCTTAGAGTGTGTCTAGACTAAAAGGTTTTTTAAAAAAAAGTAGCCTTTTTTCGAAAAAACATCTCCTGTGTCTAGACTGCAGCCACGTTCTTTCGACAGTAAATCAAAAGAATGCAGCAGGTTTTTTTGATTGCGGGAAACCTCATTTTATGAGGAATAATGCCTTTTTTCGAAAGTACTCTTTTGAAAAAAGGCGCTACTGAATGCACACTGTGCTTTTTCAAAAGAGAGCATCCAGACTCTTTCAAAAAAGCGGCTCGCTTTTTCAAAAAATCTGCTTGTAGTCTAGATGTAGCCTCAAGGTGTTGGTGGAGCAGGCAGCAAGCCGGATCAAAAGGCTTGATGGACGGGATCCAGCCTGCAAGTCGGATCTTGCCTGCCCCTGTGCTACAGCAATACAAATAAGTAATAATATATTAAAACCAGTAATTGTGTTACCTCACAACTGGCAAATTATCCTAAAATGTGCACCCAGTTATAAAAAACTGTGAAGGCCTGTTCTTTAGAAGCCCGTTAAACAACATAATAAAAATAGCTCTCCCATACAAGAAATAGCCTCCAGGCACTGATATTACAGATTTGTTAATTCTGCAAGATAGGGCCAGATATTTTATGTAAACTTAGACAAACACTAAATAAGCTTTAATGTCGAAGAAATACCTTATGTGCATCTCGAAGGATCTAGTCGCTTCTCAAAGCAGATGTGTAGCCTCCATAACATTAAATTCAATCACCTATAGAATTAATAGGAAATGGTTACCTTGTTGTAAAATTTTGAAGCCAGCCTATTGCATTCTGCAGCAGAGGCGCAATTCACTATTACATCTTAGACATTGATTTAAAAATTCTATAGGAAGCATCTTTTGGGCCTTGTTTAATTTCCATACAGCCCTATTGGTTTCATCCGTACAGCATTCTATAGAACCCTTGCATAAGGGATTAAAAAGGAGAATGTTACTTATACCGGGCAGTTTGTATGCATGTTATTGTCGGGTGAACCAACTGTTAATTTCCTCCTCTGTTGAGATTTTCTTTGAATGTTCTTAACAGCAGATAAAAAAATGATGGCTTCAGCATCTCCAGCAGGAAACCAACAGCTCTACTCTCAGGGGAGCCCCTTCCAGCCAGGACATTCAGGAAAGGCTTTCAGGTACCGTACCAAGAGCTTCTGTACATGAAAGGGAATTCCATTTTGATTCTGTGGAAACAGAATACAAGTAATGCTAACACGTGTCTGGTACAATGTGATTTTTTTCCCCTTTGTGCAACTTGACTCCCACACAAAAAAGTTCATCAGGAAGAATTAGTCTGTAGGCAAACATGTATCACTTGGGTGTTCTAGTAGATTTTTGAAATATTTTTGAGTTTACTAACTGGTAAAATAGGGTTGACAAATACTTGAAATTTAAGAATCGACATGCTTTTACAGTGGTGTCTTGAGATTTCCATAGCCACTGTGGATCTGTTTATTTTATTATCATTAGCTCTGTTTTAGTAAAGAAGATTTATGACTGTTCACTGACTGCTCTAGTCATTAGTGAAGGCTATCTTCTTGAAGGCTAATCCTGTTCCTCTTTGTCCTCCTGCTGTTTAAAGTGACCAAAGAGAAACTGTCTTGAGCATCTATACTGCAAGGAACTCTAATGAAATCCCAAGCTATGTGTGCATGTAGCTGAGTTTTCCCCTAGGACTAAGGCAAGGTTTTGAAAATGAAGGACCAACCATTCAAATGCATTATATATTGATTATGAGGCCTATGAATTAGAAATTAAATATTTGGTGTAATTTTACAGAAACCAATGTGTTCTTGATCTTGTAATTGGTAATGATATCACAAATGTTCTATAGTTAGATCTTATATGGCATTTCAGCATGTAAATTGCAAGTGGCCATCTTGACATTTCACATGTCTTGTTGTTCTTATTTTGTTGGTCTCCTGGAAATTTAACTGAAGCTTCATTTTTGCTTGTAATCTGCCACGTTAACTGGTGACACAAAGGCAAATGTCACTGTTAGAATCCTTGATGAGTTCCGACCCCAGGACACCTAACTTTGGATCCAGGATAGCAGCCTGGTGCAGTTCTGGTCACCACATCTCAAAACAGATTCATTAGAATTGGAAACAGTACAAAGAATGAGACCAAAATTATGAAGAGTACAAGACAGATTCCACATGAGGAGAGATTTCAAAGACTGGGACTTTTCAGCTTGTAATAGAAATGAGAGCTATAAAATCACAAATGGTGTGGAGAAAGTGAATAAGTTACTGTTATGTGAAGGAATAAATAACACAAGGAATATGAATAGGCAGCATGTTTGAAACAAAAGTACTTTTTCAAACAACACACAGACAATCTGTGGAACTTGTTGCCAGGGGATGTTGTGAAGGACAAAGCTGTAAAGGGATTGAAAAAAGAATTAGATGCGTTCCTGGAGGGATAGGTTCATCAATGGCTACAAGCCAAGACGATCAAGGATGCAACCTCATGCTCTGGTCGTCCCTAACCTCTATCTGTCAGAAGCTGGGAGTGGATAACTGGATGAATCATTTGCTGATTGCCTGTGCTGTGCATTCTTTCTGAACAGGCCCACCAAAGATGGGGAGGGGGCAAAAGGGGCAGCTGCCCAGAGACTCAGCAATTCAAAGGACTGTAGTGGTGCCAGCCAGAGCTGCTGGAATTTCGTGCCTGAGACCTCGCCCCTTATGGAAACGGAGCTGGCTCCCTCCCACCTCCCCTACACACACATCTTGCCCATGGGCCTATGGAGGCTGTCAGCTTCTCTGCTGCTAAAACACCTGGCATTGGCCACTGTTGGAAAACAGAATACTGGACTGGATAGTCCATAGGTCTTGACCTGCTATGGCCATTTTTATTTTCTTACGTCCCACCTGTGCTTGGCCTTGTGGGGCTCGGCAGAGTTGTGGTGCACTATCTCCTTGGCTCTGAGCCTCTACTCTTGTACTCCAGGTGCAGGTCCCATGCCTGACACCTCTCTTGGCAGTGTGGACCTAGTCATCCAATTGCTTAGGCCCAGAAACTGGGACCAAACTCCCAAATAGCTGTTGCATGCTTCTACAGTTCCACAGAAGCTGTGAACATTCTGGCTTCCTGTTTCCTACTTCAGAGACTGTGACAGTAAAAGAAAGACTCTGCAAAGGAAATTCTAAACACACACACTTTACACCGAGGCTTTGTCTACATTGGCAGTTCAGCGACAAAGCTTTTGTTGTTCACAAGTGCTTAAAAAACCCCTAAAAACTCTTAATGACAAAAGCTCGGGAAAGTATAACCCCCTAAAAACTCTTAATGACAAAAGCTCAGGAAAGTACTAGTGTAAACAGGGCTTTGTCGGCAGGAGTGCTTTCCAGCCAACAGAGCCAATGCCATTGTTAGAGAGTAGAAGTTATTTGTCGGCAAAATCGATAAACAGTGTGAACACTGATTTTTAGTGACATGGTTTTGTCAACACAGCCGTGTAATGTAGTGTAGACAAAGCTGTGTAGTGTAGACAAAGCCTGAGATCACAGAAGTGATCTCCAGATCTAAAAAAAAAACAAGTCCTGCATGCAAATGCCTTGATTTCTCTACCACTCCAAGAGCCCTTTGGAATTTGGTCAGTGTCTTTTCTGGGGATTCAGGAATCCTCCTCTTCTGTTGCTAAGCCTTGACTGTTTCTGCTTCTGTTCTGTTCCCCATTCACTCACTCCCCCTCTAAGATAGCATCAGTCCTGTTTATCAGGTGACTTTCCTCAGTGACTTCAATTCCCTTACCAGCTCGTCTAGGTGAACTGATTCTGTTGGCTGCAACTAACTCCTTGTCTTAAGGTTCTTGCATGTGAATGGGAAACAGCCATTACTTGCTCTATATTTTTAGAATTCTGCTAACACCTTTTAGAATCCCAGTCCAAGATGGAAGTAAAAAGACAACCGTTTTACAATCAAAATGGCATTCACAAAAGCAAAATGGAGTTTGTAGTTTGATACATAAACATTCAGACATATGTGAATCCATTACAACCATCTGTTTGTTTTTGTAAGTGATTTAATAATTCTCAGAATAGAGTCCAGGATAATAAATTACTACAGATGCTCTCCCTTTCTGACCTTGGGAAAGCGTAACAACAACAAATTACTCACAAATTGCAGACCATATAGGAGAATGATATATGTACTGAAACATGTTCTTTCAGACAAAATATTGGGATTGATGGGTGTATATTTAATTTACATAAAATGTGTGTGTTAGAGACAGTATATCCACTAGGTCCAAAGATTGCTATACAAAGAACACTGGAAAACAGAAGGTAAACTGGAATGCTCATGAGTATAAATTTCATTATCAGGAAAATATTTCACAACTTTACACACATTCTTTTGGGAGTTATTTTTTCCTATTTGAATTTTTCTGATTTTTGTTCCAGGGCTCAGAACAATAGCTTTGTTTGATTTTTCACCTCGATTTGTAACTGTGTAGTATCTTTTAGCACCAATGCAAGGAAACAAGAATTAAAAGCATCTAATCAAACATATATCTTTGTTACATAATACATATTTTCTTCTTTTTACAGAAAGAATGCAACACTGACAAGAAACAGGTTAAAGAATATTTATGAACAGCATCATTTCAGAAGCCTCGATTCAGGGCAGCATTTAAGCATGTGCTTAAGTACCACTGACTTTAAGCACATGTTTAAAGTTAAGTACATACTTAAGTGTGGTCCTGAGGAGAGCTACTTTCCTGAATTGGGGGCGAAACCAATATGAAAAATAATTTAATTACACATCCCTTTGGCTGAACTAATGCAAGCCCTTTGGATGAGATTGCATGGATAACTAAGAAGAATTTGGCACACTGTCTGCATAGTCAGTCTGACATCTTAGAATTTCAAAATGCCTTATAGTTTTAATACTGAATACATGTCATTTTCATTTAGTCCTTATGCAGACAATCTGGAAAACGCCTTAATGGGATAATTAACAAAATTTCAGTATCTGGCATACAATTTATGCATCAATTATTGTAGTATTGCCTACAAGTCACTTTCTGTTCTTTCCCCTTCAGCTCATCTGTGGTACACGTGCCTGGTGTAAATGATATCCAGTCCTCTTCTTCAACAGGCCAAAATTTGACACAGATCTCTCGTCAGTTAAATCAGGGTCAAGTTGCCTGGACGGGGAGTCGCCCACCATTTCCAGGACAGGTGTGTGTTTAATTAAGGGGTTTTAGTGGCATTCTAATGATTTGCTACACCTATAGATTTTGAAAAAAGAACAAATCAAACTTCCTAGCTTAAAATCTGGTAGAATGTACCTTTTGTGTTCATTTCATTATTCTTTAAAAAAAAATTTCCTCTGTTTCTGATTCATCTGCTCAAAATAGAAAAGCTCAAGGTTGAATTCTTCTTTGCATAATTCTAGAGGAAAAATAAGGTTATTTGGGCAAATATTTTGTTATGTTTGTTTAGATACACGACCCTCACAAAAATCCAGTTTTAAGGCTTGTATAAATGTGTGGTTTAAGTGATATCAACAGGACCATGCATATTTAAGTTGTGCATTATGTTTTTGTTAGTCAGAGGCCTAAAAATGGGTATGTCTACACTGCAGTTTGGGAGCAAGCCTCCCAGGTAGGCAGACTCATGCTATCTTTGCTGGATCTAGCACACTAAAAATAGTAGTGTAGATGTTGCACCTCAAAATCTGAGGCTAATCACCTGAGCTCAGGTCCAGGGCCCAGGTGGGCTAGTGAGCCAGAGCTGCCACCTGAACCACAAAGACAACACTGCTGTTTTTACCATTCCACCTCAAGTGGAGCTAACAAGAGCCTGTTTACCCAGACTGGGAGCCTCCCAGATGGTATGTCCAGATTCTACTATGATAGTATTCAAATGTCAGTCTCAGTACAATGAAATGTCTAGAGAGAAGCCAGCATGTTAAGGACTAAGTAACAACCCAGTCCCTAAAAGTTCTTGTTTTAACCTTCTTCAAATAAATCCATCATGAATACTATTTTAAAAATAATTGCTTGCATTCAGTTTTCTTACATAATCTGTAAAGGCACGTTAAGGTGTGCAGTCAATCATTTTACCAGCAGCTTAAATATTTCCATATTTGTCTGCTAGTTTCACATATTTACTGACCAGTCCTCAGTTAACATCAGTTATTGTGTTATATCTATTCTGTATGCTAAAGACATCAAATTGAAATAATATTTTGACATATTTTTGTTTATACACAGTATAGCAAGGCCATTAATTATTACTGATAAAAAATGTGACATCTCCTCTTAACCTAAGACATCATCTCTGGTCAAGTCTTAATAACCAGAGTACAAATTTAGGAAACTCAGAATGTATTTTACCATCTATTTAAAAAAAAAAAAAAACTTACAGAAATGTCCTATCCTGTTGTCATCATCATTGTAGGAACCTTCAAAGCTAAGTTACTACTTAGCTAGGAACTAAACTGAAGACTTGCATTTTCATCATGTTGTTTGCTTGTTGGGATCTATTCCTCCCTCCCCCTCTTTTGCCCAAGACCATTGCTGTACTTGAGTTCATTGATTGCCTATAAGATGCACATCATTAAATTTGTCTAGAGATGTGACTTTTAATTTCAAACAGCAGAACTTGTTTAAACCAGTCTTCTGTAGAGCTGCTGGGCTAGTTGATAGGGGGGAAAGAAATGCTTTGTTGGTAAGTGGTCTCTTTTACTGGCACTATTTCCTGATGTGTTTTGTTACTTGGTTATTCGCTTCTTGTCTCATTCTATCTATCTCAGAGGGGTGTTGTACTATTTAATGATACGTAACATGCTTTGAGATCCTTGGAAGTCATTATAGATGTGTAAAGGGTGGTTCTTGACGGAACTGAACCACTCCCTATAAGCAGAGTTTGGTTAATTTTCCCTGAGATAGTAGTGGTGAGCATAAGAACGGCCGTACTGGGTCAGACCAAAGGTCCATCTAGCCCAGTAGCCTGTCTACCGACAGTGGCCAGCACTAGGTGCTCCAGAGAGGGTGGACCGAAGACAATGATCAAGCGATTTGTCTCCTGCCATCCCTCACAGCGCTACATTGAGCCGGGCCTCATGCGCAGGAGAGGCCGGCCGGCCGGCCGGGGGCAGCAAGAGGTGGCGGCAGAGCATGCCTGCTGCATTAGCCACCGTGGCAGCGCCTCCCCATGAGTGGAGCCATGCAGCACCGCACTGAGCCAGGCCACGTCGGCACGTGCGCAGGAGCTGCTGGGGACAGCAAGAGGCAATGGGGGATCTGGACAGCGAGGCACGTGGCAAGGCAGTGACAGAGCTGGGCAGCAAGAAACATGGCAAGGCAGTGGCTGAGCGAGGCCAGGGTGAGAGGTCTGCACTGGGGCTTGGTAGGGTAACCATATGTCCAGTTTTTCCCAGACATGTCCTTTTTTTCCCACACATTAAATCGCCATCCAGACGGGTTTTTTAAAAGACAAAATATGTCTGGGATTTTTTGCCCTGCAAAGAGGATTGGGGAGGGGACAGCAGCATGTGCCTTCAGTAAAATATTCGGAGTGGCACACCCGGACCATTCACAGCTGCTCTGTGCACGGGCCCCAGCACCTGGAGGGAAAAGCGTGTGGTTCCAGTGAGATCCAGGGCATTACACTCTGCCCCGCTAGATTTATGTCCCCTGCTCTGCGGGAGAGAAAGGGCATTGTGTTAGAACAGGGGGTTGGGTGGTACCTGGCTCTAGGGGAGGGGAAGGGCAATGAGTTGGAGCTGAGAGGCTGGGGGGGGCCTGGCTCTCGGGGCAGGGTAGATGCATTGGGTTAGAGCTGGGAACTGGGCGTTAAAACTTCTGGATTCTTTCCTTTCCTGTAGGTGGGCAGTGGTCTGTTGCTTAGATTTGGGGGTTCCAGTCTCTGTTCTGTGAGGACTGCGAGAGCTGGTGCTTTGTGGGGCGAGCAGGGGGAAAAAGGGGATTCGGGGAAGCAGGATTCCTGGGTTTCCTTTTCTTGCCATGCTACTTCTCACCTCGGTGCCTTTAACTTCACATTGATTGTACTTATATTTCAGTAAATAGTGTACTGACAGTTTTAGTTTGATTTGTTAAAATTGTGAAGCCAAAACAAAAATTAGTCAATATAATGGTCTTCTGTTGATATGTGTTTTAGTAGTTAAATTCCTAGATTGTCATTGCTCATTAAAAGTGCTGTCATACAGGTGAAAATATTGCATTTTATTAATATCAGCAGAACTGACTGAAATGGGGCCTGTGTGTTGTGCAGTCTTACCTTAATCTTTGTATTCATGCCTGTCTGTGTGAAAGAAGCTATTTGTATATATATATGCAACCACACTTAAGTTGTGGCCCTCAGCACGTGTTATGGGTATCATTGTGGCCTCTGGGGCTTCGAAAGTTGAGTAGCCCTGGGTTACAGCTTGTAACAAACAATAGTGATTCTCTTTCTAAATGCACAGAGAATATTAATAATCATGTTATATTTTCAGTTACAATCTGTTGCTTTCATTGAACTTAACCGCCATAAATAGTCATAAATCCACACTGATGGAAATTGAATATGGTGGAGCTAGGGATAATACACCTAATCTCATCTGCAATGTTTATTTAACAATTGATTTTTACACTGTTAAAACTTGCTACACTGCTATGCCAGCAATACAACTAATTTCTTTTTCTTCTCCCACCCACCCCATAGCAAATCCCATCACAATCTGGCAAGGCCCAATCTTCACCCTTTGGAATCGGAACCAGTCATACCTATCCAGCTGATCCATCATCCTACAGCCCTCTCTCTAGCCCAGCCACGTCGTCCCCAAGTGGAAATGCATACTCGAACCTAGCAAACAGAGGTGCAGGGTTTGGTAGGTTTTGGATTCTGTATCTCACCAGCGAACATAAAAGTGAAATGTAACTGTATTTTAAATCAGTGGATCAGCTCTTCTATTCTGTTCTGTATGCCAAGGGCAAGATTATCTCTGGCCTTTATGTGGGTGTGTACAGTTTGCCGGGAGGGCAAAAGGTAAGAAACTTTGCTTCCTCTTACTTGGCACAATAGACTGAGACAAGTGCTCCACCTCCAGCATCCTAAAGGATGCACTGAACTCCCTTCCTGACGTAAAATCCCTCCCAGACTTCCTTTTGGGTGGCACAGCTCTGCTCTACTCTGACTCACAAAAGGTCCAAAATGGCACAGACCAGAGAACTGTAACTCTTTAAACTGCTCTTAGTATGTGAAATTGTGTCCCATTGCTGCCATGACACCGCCCCTCTCCCAGGATACTTAATTGCTTCTCATTCAGTACAGATAACTCCATCGCCCCCTCTCTGTCGCTTGCAGACAATGACTTGTGCTAGTCATACTGTGAGTTTAAGAAATTCCCTTTGTGAACAGCTGGGTGTTTCCTAGCAGAACACGTCGCATTCATTTTACTTATTTTGAATGTGAATTTTCTCAGCTACAATCTAAAAGTAGAACATGGCAGTAGTCCTTTTCTTGTTGTCATGGGAGATAGGATTTGACCTTTTACTGATTAGTAATGCCTTTACTCGTTACTTTTACTTACATAGACAACACTCCACTGGCTTCAAGCTTTCAAATTAAATCAGCACATTTCTTTCCCTCCTCCCTTCCCCTTCCCTTTCCTCCTTCCCCAGAGTAAGGCCTGGGTAAGGACTGAGTTAGACAGATGAAGAGTTGTCCCTTTGGGATCTGTTCATGTGCTAAGATAAAACCATGTCTTTGGAGTGTATATAAGAGAACAGATATAGGAAGGACACCTCTAATTCTGCCCGGGCAGGATTATATCTTCATCATCAGATAGGCATTGATTACTTAAAACAGAAATATTTATGCAATTAAAAAAAATGGGATTTGGTCCAGAAGATGAGCTAGTGTCGAATGTGTGGAAAGGACTTGTACCCTTTGTTTATTGCTTACTTGATTGCTTTTCTTGTATGCTTCCCTATTTCAATCACAATTTTTTGTTGTTTTAATTACTAATTTAGAACTGAAAGCAGTCTCCTCAGTCGTCATGCCTAGCCCCTACCCTGACAGGCCACTGCATCACGTAACTAGGGATGTTAAATTTCAGTTAATCAGCTAATCGAGTAGTCGATGGAATTTCCATCAATTAGTCAATAAGGGGAGCACTGGCTATCCCGCTGCGCCCCTGCCTTTGAAACATACAAGAGTCGCCCATGGATCTTGTACATTTCAAAGGGAAAGGCACAGCAGTCCTGCTCGCGATCCCTGCTCGTGTCTTTTTCCCCCGCTGCGCTTCTGCCTCCCCTCCTCCCTTCCCCCGCAGAGATGGTGCTGGGGGGAGCCACCTTTTAGGCTCCCCCCAGCACTGGCTCTTGCTCCCTTCCCCTTGGTGCCTCAGACAGCGGGGAGGGGGCAAGCAACTAGTTGAGTAGCGATTTGACTAGTTGCTTACATCCGTATATGTAACTCATTCATAAACTGATCAAACTCCATTTTAAAACCAGTTAGGTTTCTTGCCCCCACTTTCCTGTTGGGAGATGGTCCCAGAATCTCACTACTCTGATGGTTATTAACCCTCTAATTTCTACCAGAATTCACTTTTGGCCAGTGTAGATCTCTCTGTTTTCATGCCAACATTGTTGTTTAGCTTTGATAGCTCTTGCCCCTGCCTGGTGCTTAGTCTGGTGTATTTATAGAGAGCAATTAGATCCCCTCTCAGCCTTCGTTTTGCTAGGTAAAACAAGCCCAGCTTCGTTAGTCTCCTATCATGAGACATTCCAATCCCCTGATCATCCTACTAGCCCATCTCGGTACCTGTTGCAGTTTGATTCTTTTTTATTATAATGGTATGATCCAGTCCATGGAGGATTAGAAGCACTTTCTTGTACATTCAGCCAACTACCACAGTTATGGCTATATACAGTCAGTGGAGTTGTATGACACAGATGGAAGGCAGAATTGGAGTCGTTACATTTAAAAACAAATACAAAAAGAATGAGTAAAACTATTACAGGTTGGTCCTCCCTTTTCCAGCACCCTCAGGACCTGACTTAGGTCCTGAAAGAGGGATTTTGCTGCACCAGAGGAGATCATTTGTGGCCTCCCTGCTCTGCCCCTCCCAGTTGGCCTTTTGGCTCCCTCCACTGCTCAGATGAATTCCCCCTCTCCTGCTGCCCAGCTGCGCTGCAAGTCCTCCTCCCTTCATGCTGTGTGGCCCTGGCCCCCCACAGGAGGGAGACTCTGATCCTGGAACATCCATGGTCCACAAATGTTGCTGGACCAGAGAGTTCCAGTTTATAGAGGTGCGACTTGTAGTGCCAATGCTATCTCAAAACTCTCTATGCTGTTGTGCAATATGCCATCTGTTATAAAATGCCTATACGGCCCTGTGTCTGTAAACTTAAGATGGTACTGCCGCCAGTAATCATCCATGCTAGTAATCTGAGGCCTCACATGTTTTTATACTTTGTAAAAAGAAAATTAAATCGGAAAAAATCCAGGTGCACATTGTACATGCTCCTTCAGGAACATGAGTAACCTGAGTAGTGTCTTTGGAAAGACTGGTGCCCATACACTTGGACAGCATGAAAAACATTAGGAGTGTTTAGAACTGCTCAGCAGCACAGCAAAATCAACTTTTTGATATTTCAGAGAGTTATCCAGCAGTGTTGTGCAGTCTCCTTCACAAGGTTCAGGGGTTCAACCCTGATGTTATATAGGTACTTACTAGTGGCTGGAAGCCTTCACATGTGAGCCTCATGATCATTCCTGAAGTGTGTGAAATTCCACAGCTGCTTACATTACAGCATACATAGTTAAGTAGCATAATTAAGGATAACTGTGCTATTCATTCTCTTCAGTAAGCATGCAAGTATGAGCTGTTCCTGAGGGAGCACTTTAACAGGAAAAAAATCAATAAGTGAAATGAGACTAAAAATAATGAAACAAGAACATTTCCCTATTCCTTTCTATACATGCACCTTCTAAAATAGTGGCCTTGATAGCAATTGCCTACAAGAATGCATGCAGTGGAAATTAGAATATAAAATTCTGATGGCTATTGAGTCCTGGGTTAAGGAATACCACAGCCAACAAACAAAACAGCAACATTCCTAAATCCAGCACAACATGCTCGTAGTTCAGAGCAGTCAGTGAATCAGCTGCAGAAGTGTGAGGTAGGCTGCCAGGAACTAAAGGTGAAGAAAGAGAACTCAGCTATTCTTGGCCAAAGTCATATAAGCTTTTATATACACACTAAGCAAAAGATTTAAAATGACACATTGACCGTAGTATCTTATTTACACAAGGAGTTGATGCAAAGCCTACTGAAGTCAGTGAAAGGATCTGTCCACTGATTTACGTGAGCTTAGGATCAAGCCACTAAAGTTTAAAGCAAATTCTGTCCAATTTCTCTAGCACTGTTTTCTCATTGTTTGAGGAACAAAATAAAAAAAAATCCTCATATTCCATTGAACTTAACATTTGAAACCCTTAGCTTCCCCTTACATAGGTTATTATCATTACCACAGGTAGAAAGTTAAAACACTCATTTTTATTTTTGCTTTTAATGCTAATTTGTTCACCTTCACTTTTCACTTAACCTTTATGAATGAAATTTATGAACCTTTATGAATGAAATTCAAGCCCTTTTCACTCTTTAGGCCTCATGCACTTGCATTATGCTGCCTTGCTGGACTCAACAGCAGTGCAGGGGGATGTGTACATCAAAATGAATGACTTCCTGTTAAGTTAATCATGCCACCGTTTCTGTTAGAATTGATACATTTGTTTTTTAGAGAGCTTGCACTGGGGGCCCAAACTTCTTAGCAAGGACCGGAGTTCCCTGTAAATTGAACACTTGGAAGGCCATCCTAGAGAGTTTCAAATGCCGCACAGCTGGCAGCATGTATATCTACTGGTGGTGTGCATCTGCACGTGTCTTGGTGCACATAACAAAATTTATTCCACACATAAATGGGAACATTGGCAAGGACCTATTCATTTGGTGGGAAATATTTCCTGATCTACATCAGTTTGAAATCTATTAATAAATCCATTTATTACTGAAAGGAGCAGCCTGAAACTGCTGGTAACCTCTGTCTTGCTGAACAATAGGCTCATTTATCTCACTGCATAAATGTTAGCACATCCTACTGAGCAAAACTGATGCAGCTTTCCTTTAAGGGGTAACGTCAGTGAATTTTGTTGTGACCAATAGTGCGGCTGCAGGATTTTTGAGTCAGCTGAATTATTTGTCAGCAGGGGAGCAGTGGTAATTCTCCAGCCCAGATGTGACAGAAGCATGCCATTGCAATTCATCGGTCTTCTGGGAAACGGCTTACCGTTCATACCAGATTTCATAGCTGGCAGTAGAGAGAGATCGGAGTCAGGGTGGAGGCATTTGTGACTTTGCACCTTGTGGAGCAATGACAAACTGTGAAGTCAGGCATTTTGGCTACTTCCCTTTGCAATCCCGTACATTTTTCTGTGTGGAAATTTTGGTTTCTGGTTGTAGGGCATATAATGCAACATGGCATGCAGAATTGTATGGTTCTGTGCTAATGGCTAGGAAGTTGGCCTGTGGTTATGACCTGCCTGGTCCTGATCTACCAGTGACCCCCAAATTTTCGATTTGAGTGTCTGAAGGAAAAAAGGCAAAAACAGAACCTATCAAAGGGAAATGGTTTTCAGGTTTGCTAGAAACATTTTTAGTTCCCAAAACAAGACATGCAGCACCCACTACTGAAAATCAATACCTATATTGCTTCCTGAGCAATTCACAGGAGATGCACCTTCCCTCTCCCATCTGAGCTTAAGGAAAGCAATGATGCTGTATTGTGCTGTAAAAGAGCCAGCCAACCACAAACACGGTTGTATATCTAGCGAAGAAGTTTAATTTTCCATTTCCTGGCTTGGCAGCAGCAGCCAAAAGCTATCCAAAATATTATAGAACATATAAATCTTGGAACGAGGGCTTTACAAATAGCCAGTTTTTTGGTTCCAACAGAAGGAAAACTATTGGATTATATTTTATGTATTTAGGGCAAAATTTGCCTACCAAAGTATAAAGAGAAATCCAATTGACTTCAGTTGATAAACATAATCTATGAATATACTCCTAAATAGAGCTCTGTGCAGATACAAAAATTCTCTGTATCTGCAAAAATGAGCCATGGATATCTGCATCTGTATCCGTGGATGCGGATATCCTCAGATATCTCTGGGTTTGCTGGTCTGTACTTATAAAAAGGGTAGGTAAAATAGCTGACAAATGAAGTATGTGGTATCAGTTTAAGAACCAGGTCCATAATCCTGAAAAGGTCATTATGACAACATTGGTCGTCTTAACATTAAACCTCTTTATTCCTTCAAAACCCAAATGAACTAGCACTCTTTGGGCTCGTCTACATTGGCCCCTTTTCCGGAAGGGGCATGTTAATTTCACGAGTCGTAATAGGGAAATCCGCGGGGGATTTAAATATCCCCCGCGGCATTTAAGTAAAAATGTCCGCCGCTTTTTTCTGGCTTTTAGAAAAGCCGTCTACACTGGCCATAAACAGGCGCTCATCTTATTTAGAAGTCGTGTATTTAGAAAAACATTATTTTGACCTCCATTATTATAGGGGTAAAGCAGCTATTTAATTCATGCAGCTCCAGTCTTGGAATTGTAAACCTTGTTTCACGAGGCATAAAGGGATCAGTCGGCAAAGGCTTCCCCAGCCGACAGACCCACATCTAGACTGCCGTGCTGTGTCGGATCAGCTTATTGTCGGCACAGCGTGGCGGCCATATGTATTTTAATGAAGAGGGATTATTTAAATCCCCGCTTCTTTTGACTATGCCGAATAAACTAATTTACATGGCTCCGTCGACGGAGCCATGTAAATTAGTTTATTCGGCATAGTCAAAAGAAGCGGGGATTTAAATAATCCCTCTTCATTAAAATACATATGGCCGCCACGCTGTGCCGACAATAAGCTGATCCGACACAGCACGGCAGTCTAGATGTGGGTCTGTCGCCTGGGGAAGCCTTTGCCGACTGATCCCTTTATGCCTCGTGAAACAAGGTTTACAATTCCAAGACTGGAGCTGCATGAATTAAATAGCTGCTTTACCCCTATAATAATGGAGGTCAAAATAATGTTTTTCTAAATACACGACTTCTAAATAAGATGAGCGCCTGTTTATCTTACTATTTAAAAGGTCATGGAACAACATGTACGTGGCGTGCTGACATGCTGCCTTTTCAAAATTTGAATTGTATAATCCATCATTAGCAGTACTCCTCCTGGTTCCACTTTTGATCCAAGAGTTTATTAAAGAGGAAGTGCATTCAAATGCCTGTCTTGTCATTCTGTTTTTATGTGAAATGGCAGGTACTTATTCTCGTTACTAAAGAGAGGCAGGACTGAGGAAAAACCTGGCAAGCCCAGGTTAGGTTTCATTGCACTCTTCTGTATTTTACTTTGTGCTCTACTATAGTCAGCACGTTGTCCCTGTTGGGTGGGTACAGCCAGAGTAATCCACTCTCTTTGGTCCCTGTCTTGTGCCCTTGAGATCAGTGTCAAAACCCCTTGGCTACATTCCCACCATACTCCTTGCTGAGTATCTGTGCTATAAAATTTACTTCTGAACATCAAAGCTCTTCAAAAAAGTCTCAGAAAACATCCATGTGACTTTTAAAGCAACTGTCTGTGTAAATCTGAATCTTTCAGCTGAGAGTGGCCAAAGCAGTGGACAATTCCAAGGGAGACCTTCGGAGGTGTGGTCCCAATGGCAAAGCCAGCATCATAATCAGCAAAGCAGTGACCAGCATTCTCACCAGCAGCCCAGTCAGACTGAAGTCTTCCAAGTGAGTAGAAACACAGTTTCCTTGTGTCTACAGTTGTCATAAGAAAGTCAAAGTTGTCTTAAACAACAATCTTAGTCACCTGAGCCAGCGTGGAAACAGTCTACATGACAAGCAGTATCTGTCAGTATGAGATGTGCTACCCTGGGGCTTATAGGGATGTTATCTGGGATGAGGAAAGTCTTTGATAGAATTCAAAGCATTTTTTTCTGCCAGAGCATAAGCACTGTGGTTTGAAATGTTTTCTCCTCCCCCCTGCTTCCTCGGCAAAGGAGCTATGCATTTTAGGGAGAAACCAGTAGGTAGATAGTCCTGGCTAGAATTTCCTCCTCATACCCTGATCCAGATCTATAAATCCAGGTTAGGCTAGGTCTATACTAGCCTCAGAAGGTTGGCTTAAGGTACACAATAGGGATGTTAGATATTGGATAATTGAATCTAAACTTTGCAGTTACACAACTATTCAATAGTCCCTGGGGGTGAGGCTGGCAGCCAGTGCACTCCTGACCCCACTCCCAGGGAGCCCCCTGCCACTCAGTGCTCAGAGAAAGCAACACAGGGTGGCAGGCCCAGTCCATGAGGGAAGCCAGTTTAAAAACCAGCTCCCCACACAGACTGGCTGCCTGCCACCCTGCGCTGCCACCTCTGATACAGAGGCAGTAGCGTAGGGCAGCAGCAGCCCCTGTCTGCAGAGGTCTGAGCTCCCCATGGACAGAGGCTGCAGCAGGGGAGCGGGAGAGGGCGGAGGAGGCTGCTGTGAAACAGCCTCTGTCCGTGGTGAGTCTGGGCCCACCACAGACAGAAGCTGGTCCGGCAGCGTCCCCTGCCCTCCCCCCTGCACTGCTGCCTCTGAAAGATAGTGGAGATGGTGCTGGGGGATGCAGCTACGTGGAGGGGCAGGCGGCACTGCAGAGACGGTGCTGGGGGAAGCGAGCTTTTAAGCCAGCTCCCCCCAGCACTAGTTTCTGCTTCCCTGCACCCTGATACAGAGGCAGTGGGGGGGAGGGGAAGTGGAGAATGAGTAAACGACAAGATTAACTGATAACCAGGCTTAAGTTTAACTAGGTTTATCAGTTATCATATAGTCGACTACGCTTATAGTGGACAATGACACCCCTAGTATACAACTGCAGCTGTGTCATTGACCAGAAGTTAGGGGAACAAGCTTCTTGGGAAATGAGCTTCTTTAGTCCATCCCATTTATCTCCACTCTCCAGGGGCCAGCGAGTTAGATTTAAAGCACATCCTTTCCCAGGGTGATACCGCATTTTGGTGCTCTTGGATGAGGGTAGTTCATCCTCTCGAGCAGATGCTTTGAGGTTATTTGTTATTTCTTGTTGTTTCGGTTCGTATTACAGGTTGAACCTGTCTGGTCTGGAACTCTCTTATCTGGCAACATCTGTGATCCGGCAGGACCCTGGATGTTGCTGGTCCAGAGACCCTACCACCCCAGCGGAGTCCTATCACCCCAGGGCAGCCTCGGGGCTGCTGAATGCCAGCTGATCGCAGCTGGCCATGGAGCCCTGGCAAGCTGGCAAGAGCAGCTGAGGAGTTGGCAGCCTGGCCATTTGTTGACAGATTCCAGGAGAGCCTGTCAGCAGAAGAGGTGGCCTCGCATGGTCTGTCAAACTTCCTCCTTCAGGACTGATTGAGTCCCAAGAGTGCTGGACTAGGGAGGTCCAACCTGTATCATGCTCCTTCTCCTACTGCAAAACCAAGTTCTGCCAGAGCTTGTTATTCTAAGAGCTGAAAGGATAGCACAACCATTTTCCAGAAGGGATTCCTCTTCCCTGGCTTTGTTCCTGACTGGGAAAAGGAGGTTCAGTACTCTCTAAGGCTACGTCTACACTGGCCCCTTTTTCGAAAGGGGCATGCTAATTTGACAGGTCGTAATAGGGAAATCCGCGGGGGATTTAAATATCCCCCGCGGCATTTAAATAAAAATGTCCGCCGCTATTTTCCGGCTTTTAGAAAAGCCGGAAAAGAGCGTCTACACTGGCCCCGATCCTCCGGAAAAAAGCCCTTTTCCGGAGGATCTCTTATTCCTACTTCAAAGGGATTCCACGAGGAGTAACGGTAGTTGGAACTAGGAAGCCTAGTTCGAACTACCTAGTTCGTGCTCCGTGTAGCCGCTCTGCACGGGGTTCGAACGAGCGGGGTTTTAAAAATGGCGGCGCCCCGCTTATTCAAATGAAGCCCGGGAAATTCAAATCCCGGGCGGTAGTTCGAATTAGAGAGCCTAATTCGAACTACCTACTCAGTGCCGCGTGTAGCCGCGGGCACGGAGTCCGCACTAACGGGGATTTAAACATGGCGGCGCCCGGTTTATGCAAATGAAGCCCGGGAAATTCAAATCCCGGGCTTCATTTGCAAGTGCGGTATGCCAACATTACCCTCCTAGTTTGAACTAGGAGGGTAGTGTAGACATACCCAAAGACTCTTGCATGGACTTCACATAACTCAGGAGATTTGGGAACAGTTACCTTGAACTCCACTTACACCAGAGAAATGGTTGCTGGACCACTCCCTTTTCTGAAGTACATGGCTGCTCGCTGACCTGGAGGAAAACCTGCAGCATTCTTCAGCGGAGGTGCAGTCAGAGTAAACGTAGGCACTGTTTACAGAACGCTGTTCAGAAGGAAGTAGATCCTCCACAAACGTGGAGGCTAGCCCTCTGCTCGGATGAATTTCACCTTCTTTTTCTGGTCTTTGGCCTTTTCTGGTGTTAAGTTTAAAAATGATTTAAAAAAAACCCACATTTGTGCCTGGATAGCATGCTATAAAGTAACACTTCACTTTGATTTTCCTTATGCAGGACATGCTGCCTATGCCAGGGGATCCAACACAGGGCACTGGCAATTACAACATTGAAGATTTTGCTGATCTGGGCATGTTTCCACCATTTTCTGAATAATTTACGAAGCAGAAAAGTGAAATGAAGTTCAACAAAACCATTTCAGTGTATTTTTGGCTCTGCTTTTTTGTGTTGCTTTACCATAGAATCTACTAACAAGAAGTCATGTTGCTCATGCTTCAGATAGTGATACAGGAGTTTGCTCTCTCTTCTTCCAGTGTGTGAGTACTGAGGAAGAAGTTACACCACTTGGTGGTGGTCACTGACAGAACCATTTTGTATTTTCTTGCCACCACCCTCAGAGATGAAGAACTTTACTTGATTGTGAAAAATCTGAGTCCTAAATATTTGAATGTGAACAATTCCTAATGCTCCCTTTTAAATGGTAAATTTTAAATAGATAATGAAGTAACAAAGACTAACAAAGAAAACATGTAAGGAAACGTTCAGTTATTGGTCTGTAGTTCTGTTTCAAAGCCTTGCTTTAATGTTAAATTTCTGAGAACAGACTTAGTATTCTGATTTCTTTGATTCTTGAGATTTTTTAGGTCAGTTTGAATGTGAGATTACACAACATAAAGTAGTCCTCTCTGACCAGAAGATTCAGCACCTTTTTCCCTCTCTTAACTCAAACTTGAATATGTGTACATTTTAGTACTGTATGTATATCTTGTGCTGTATAATGTGATTTCCTGTATTGGTAGGAGTTTTTTTTTTACATGTAAAAAGGGTCCATTTCAGACTGTATACTGAAAGAGGTGACAAGATATTGCAGAACTTAGATATTGCAGGATTCTGCATCACTTTACTTAGAAATAACACTAATTGGTTGATTTTGGTAAGTCTGATTTATGCCATATATTTACTTACACAAGCTGTTACTGTTTTTATTGAGTGAGGCCTATATTTCTATAATTTTCTCATTACCTGGTTTTATTTTATTTTTTGCCTTCTACTATTGCATTCCCCCAACAGATCCTTTTTATAAAAATTACTGCATAGCATATCAAGAATATTGTTTCAGCACCAGTAGCATTTCCTTTCTATGAATGCCTTTTTTATATCCTGTGCAACATTACCTTTTAACAGTTAAGAGATGCCCTGTTACAACAGAGTCATCTAAGCTTATTTACTGAGAGCAGTGAGCTAGTTTGTTTCATGAGCCAAACAGGGTGATTACAACTAATTTGTGATAGGAACCAATCGGTCAAGCCACTGCCTGCCAAAAACAGAGTGGAGTTAACCTGAATTTTCGCATGCATGCTAAACTGCTGAGTATTCGCCTGCTTTTGTTTTAAACCCACCGTTTCAGGGTTTCACATCACTGGGCATTTGGGAGACTCAGGCCATCCATCATGGTGCAAGCGTTTCCATGGATCTGAGTCTTGCTGCCTGGTCGATCCGTCAGAAATGTCTAGAAATTCTGTTTACGTTCTCACATGATTGGTTGGATTAGAGAGCAGATGTAAAATGAATATTTATGGCCAGGTAATCCCTGCTGTGGGAGGGAGAATCACCCATGGACAAGAAACTAAGCTTCTTTTAAATCCTTTGAAGGTTGCAATCCAGTCCCCTTGGAGAAGGGGAAGAGGATTCAGCTGCCTAAATTGGTAGATGCTCTGGGATCCTCACAGATCTCTGGACATCGACAGGAAACTAAGGCCATCCACTCAGAGGCCCGGTGTCTCCACACATTACTAGCCCACATACTGCCTTTGCCTGGCTACTTGAAGCTACTTCTGAACTCGGAGGTGTCTTCCAGCAGGGAGGACAATTGTCATACAACAGTCCCTTTTGTCAGCATTAACTTGCATAGGTAATCATGGCGGTTCGTTGGGTGGATGTTGCCATGGACAAGAGTCCATGTCGTCATGTGGCGAGCTCTGATCATGTGGGTCTCATCCAGAGAGACTTCCACAGTCTGTCAGGCCAAAGATAGCAGGCCACTGAGACCCTGCTCCCAACCTCAGTCATGTGACTGGGGCTTTCCCCACCCTGTCCTGCTTCCTTGCATGTCACATAGCTGAGTAAGTAGTCCTCTGAGGCTTTCCGACCATTTGTCTCTTTAATCTCTAGGGCCAGTCCCCTGCACTTTGTGCCATTGGAGGGGTGTTTTATGTATGTGTTTTCAGTTGTGTTGTTTAATAAAAACTGAATCTATTTCTGAACTAGATAAAGAACTGCAGAGGCCTCAGATCTCTGGGCTGTACTTTCCTCAGCAGAGTCATCCTGTTTTAAAAATGGGCACTTCTTCTCTTGCCCTAGGGAATGAAAGGAATCCTCAGTTAGCTGAGGAGACAGTGCACTTAAATTGTCTCAGAGGGGCAGCCATGTTAGTTGGTAACTTTAAAAACAATGAGTAGACCTGTGGCACCTTAGATACTAATAAATTGGTATTCATCTGAAAATTTGACATCGTTTCCCTGGGCTTGAACAAAGACATTAACTGGATGTTGCATTATGAAGCCAGTTTCCCCCTGCCTTTAACATCTCATTGTTACATCAAAAGCTAAGTATGGAACACTTCCAGCCCACTTAATTAGCCTCATTAGCACTGGTCCTATGATTGACAGATACCTTTTTATTCTGTTATAAATAAATTGGTTTCTGTTGTTCCTCTCTAGCTCATCATCTGATGAAGTGGGTTTTGCCCACAAAAGGTCATAATGCTATATATTTTTGTTAGTCTCCAAGGTGTCACGAAATTACTCAATGCACTTAAACTATTTATTTTAATACCTTGATACTGATTCTCTTGATGCAGCCCCTGCTGCCCTTCATTCTCATCACACAGAGTGCATGGACAAAGAACTGATCAGTGAGTTAGACTAGAAAAGCTCTGCTCCCTGTAGTGAGCATGAGTTGAATTCACTGACCTCATAAAAGATGCTTGTATTCTGCAGATGGCTGTGTGGGAGAGGTGAGACATGAGAATCTGTGTGATAGGAAATTATAGTAAAAGGAGAAGTAAAGGATCCTGATTCTGTGACAAATCTAACAATGGGGGAAGACTGGAATGCCTAGCAATTTCTCTCTTTATGTAATGGACTGGACATGATACATTCAGCGGTTTTTAAAATTTAAAAATTAGGATTTCTGTAAAGTGAAAAATTGATTGGAAAATGGTGTTCCTACACTGGAGTCTACCTGTCAGCTTACTCTGTGTATATGTATGATTTATTTTGTTCCTGAACTCAGTCTAAAATAGTGTGTTTATGAAAACTTTTTTCCAGCCCAGAAAAGATTCTGTACATATCACTGTCTTTTTATATTGTAGATGCGTAGAAGAGGGATTGTCAATCAGTAGTTGCTAGTAGAGTTCAAAGTTCTTTTTTAAAAGAAATTCAAGCATGTCAATTTTTTAAAGATGCAGTATTACTAGTTTGAAGCCAGTATGCCCAAGGCATCAGTGCAAGGTGTTTCTTGTCGTCGTCGTCTTCTTCCTCCTCCTCCCTCCCTCCTTATCCTTGTAACCACAAAAGGGAGTTACTGTCAATTAAAGGCCAGTCTAGAAAAATGGAGGGCTTGCACCCACTTCACTTTGAGCCACAGTATATCCCTGTTTATATTCTGATATCCTGAGCCAATGCCTTCTCCCTGTTTCTCCATTCTCCTTAGCTCCCCTGCAGCTGATTCCACCCACAGTATCTTTATATTGCCCTAGGTTGGAAGGGCAAATGTGGGTGATCACTATCAGCTTCACTCCAGCAAGCCAGCGAAAAAGGAATTATTAAAGAGCATTATGGTTGGTAGCCTTATTCCTGAGACCAAGACATTCACTAGTGCTCCCAGGGCTTCTGTACAGTAGGGGCTGCCTCCGTGCTACTGGCCGACTCTTTTGAAATCTCTCTCTCATTCTCATTCTAATTCTAGTGGCAGCAAAGGCTGTTTAGCATAAGTGGAGCTATGCTCTTTGTTGTGTCTTGACGGTAATAAAACAACATATCTGTATGACGACTGAAGTGCGTATTTAAAACTGTCCTTTTTTTAATGTGTTCCATCAGCATAACTCCCGTGGCAGTTCCGCTGCCAGCTTGCGGAGTTTACATGCAGATTTTTTTTTCTACCTGCCAAGCTGTGTTTTCCAATCGGTTGTGTTGCAAACAGAAATGTCTGTCAAGACAGTGGGAAATACAGAACTGAAGCATTCTCTTTGTTAAATCAATTGTGCAGGAAACTACAAATGGTCAAGTAACAAGCTGAGCAAGTTACTTCCATAAGTAGGATTATAGACTGGGATCCTTTTTTTTTACTTACCAATTCATATAATCAATCCTGTTTCCTGGATCTAAGTATTTTACCAGAGTGATTGTATTGCATAACTTGTTAAAGGCACTACTGACAGTGCCTATAATAATACAGTTTGAAGCTCTCTAATCTGGCATTCTCTGATCCGGCAACATTCATGGTCTGGCATGATTTTACTTAGCCAGATGTCCACTTACCATGCGTGTGGCCAAATATCCCATGATCCCATAAAGTTTGTTTACAGCCGCCAGTCCTAGCTATGTGTTCTGTGCTGTTATTTAGCTCTAATTTACCCCTAAATGTCTTCTAAGAACCCCTTGAGCAGTGGAAGGGTAGATAATGCTAGACAGTATTAACCTTCTGTGGTTTGGCACTGGTCAGGTCCCGAGGGTGCCAGATTAGAGAGGTTCAATCTGTACTTAAACCAGATGTGTCCATAACTAGCTTTGTTGCCTTCTTTTTCTTGAAGCCCAGTCTGAAACTGTAAATATTTCTTGCAGTACTGCCTTTTTTAACTCCTAATTACTTTTCGCACAGTGTTATATAGTGTTGGATTTACCCAATCGCTATGACATATATTTTTATACATAGGCATACTCTTTCTTGAGAGTAATACCGCCACTTAATCATTAATGCCTTATCAATGTCATATTGCTGTTACTCTTTGATTGGTTGGTTTGCAAGGTATCCAATGGGTTAATGTTAAGTCAGATATTTTCATTTTCATGGCAGTGCTCAATTTGGGATACAGATGATTGCGCTGTAGCCCCACTTGTCACTGG